ATGTATATATATATATATACATATACACGTAATATCGGCATTTGGATGACCGCGGATATATATATATATATATATATATGTATATATATATATATATGTAGACACGCGGTCCCCAGTTCGCCCGAGTCATGCAAGAACACGGTCCCGACGGCACGGGCGTTCGCGCGCGGAAGCGGTCCCCAGTGCACCCGAGTGACGCAGGAGCACGGGCCCGACTGCACGGCCCCTCGCGCGCCTGCTGCCCGCGCCGGGTCGCACGTCAGCGCCTTGCTGCTCCCAGTGCAGCGTGCCACGACGGCGGCCCGCGCAGGCGCGCGGCGTGAGGACGCTCTGCTGTCGCGTGGGAGGGCCGTACAGTCGAGGCGCTGAAGAAGGGACCCTTTTCGTTGGGGAGGGGCTCGGTGTTCCTTGATTGTTTCACAGCTTGCCTCAGGTTTTCCTTATGTGGAAGAAATGGGCCTCGTTCCTTATTTAGGGTTCCTTAGGTCAACGCCCCGACTGTATCTTTTCTGGTCGTTCACCTGGGGGGGTGGGCTCCAGGGCTGGCCGCTTTCTGTGCGCTCGCCCAGGGCAGGTGCGGAGGCCCCTTGTTCTTCTGGTTTGAGGGTGCGAGTGCAGAGTTCGCGCCCGTTCCTCGGCTCCTCTGGGCAGGGTGCGGCATCAAGAGCTTGGCAACCTCTGGAGCCTGCCTGTGTGTGGGCTCTCCTGTCGGAGGTTTCACTCCCGAGTGCCAAGTGTGTTGTCTGGGGGGGTCTCTGCGGTCGGAGGTTCAATTCTGGAGTTCACCCTCACTCGGGCTACCCAGTCGAGTTAGTGTTAAGTCGGGCCTGTCCCTCTACAGGAGGAGTATCGAAACATAGCCAAAACATAGTCATGGGACGATGGCTGCAGCTGCGTCCAGGGCTAGGCGACTGGCTCGCGAGGGCGCGCTGTCGAAGGCAGCGGGCGGACTCAAGAGCGGCATCAAGACGCCGGAGGAGCCCCAGCAGCACCGCTGGGCGAACGAACTGCTGCCTCGCTCCACGCTCGGTGCGGCGGCCCTTGCACCGCCAGCCGCCGAGGCAAGCCCAGACGCGCAGGCGCCGGCTGCTGCAGGCGCGCCAGAGAATCCGCTGAAGGGCATTCGGCATCCGCCGCTGTCCGGGCCCGGCCCGTCGCACTGCCGCCCCGAGCACTTCGCGGAAGTGCTGGCAGTGCGCAAGAGGTGCGTGGCGAACCGGTTGTGCAGAGCCCTGGGGCGATGTACTGCCCAGGGGCAGGCGGGGGCATTGCCGACTTCGGCCAGGTGGATCCTTGGCTCGGCAGGGATGTTCTTGGATAACCCGGGCCGCGAGGCCCCGCGGCCCATCCGCTCGGGCGAGTGGCTCCGCAAGACTGTCGCCAAGTCACTTCTCCGCGATCGTCGAGTCAAAATCCGCGCCCTCATGATCCAGCTCGGGCAGTGCGGAGTTGCCTTGCCGGGCGGTGCGGAGGCGCTGTTCCATGCCAGGGCAACCATCGAGGAAGTCGCGGCCACCGGGGTCCTGGGGCCGCTCGCCGTGGTGGACGGGGACCTGGTGAATTGCTTTGGCAGTTTCGAGTGGCCGGCGATACGGGACGCCTACTCGGAGCTGCTTCCGGAGATGCTCCCGGGGGAGGCGTGGTGCACCCGCGCCGCCGCCGAGGCGCGGCTTCCGTGCGGCGACGCGGTCGCCGTTGACCGCGGCGCCGGGCGGGGCGAGCCGGAAGGGCCGCTCGAGGCGTCCACAACTATCGGAGTTTGCGCTCGCGAGGCGAGGGCTGACACCGCGGCCGCGAATCTTGGAGAGTGGGTCGACGGTTGGTTCCTGGACGACGGCCAGATCTTCTGCAGGCCCTATCAGCTTGACGGCCTCCTTCGCCGTTTGGACTCGCGCCTGCACGCGGCGGGGGCCACGCGCGGTAGCCGAGCCCAGGGTTACGACATCAGGAGCACGGTTGTCATTTTCGGCACGCCGGAGCAGCGGCAAGCGGCAACGCCTTGCCTCACGGAGTACGGCCGCGACACGTGCAAGGTGCTGGAGCCCAGCGAGCAGCGAACCGTGTTGGGTGGATTGCTGGCTGGCAGCCGCGAGCAGGGTCTGCACGAGGCCATCGACGAGGTCGGTGATGCGGCGACCGAGCTTTTCTTCAAGAGTGAATGCGCGGACGTCTGCACGGCCACATCCCGGAGGACTCCTTCGCGTCCTTCGAGTCGGCATTCCGCGACAGCATTGGGCGCACGCTGGGGGGCGAGCTGGGCGACGAGCCGTGGGCGCAAGCCACCTGCGCCACGCGTGAGGGGGGCCTGGGTGCGCGAACGCCTCTGGAGGTAAGCCTGCCCGCGTTCGTCGCGAGCCGGGCGACTGCGCGCCCGGGCGCATTCGCTCTTTTCGCTCGCATGGGAGAGGCTGGATTCGCTCAGAGAGGCGCGCTGCAGGCGGCATACGCCTCGCGGGGCGCCGCCGCCTTCGCCGGGCTGCTGGGCCGGGCAGACGGCGACGCAGCGCTGCGTGACAATCTTCGCGCATTGGTTGAGGGCAGCGCACGCTCGGCTCAGGATTGGTGGGGCGCCGCCGCGCGCGGCGAGGAGGAGCAAGCGTCGAGCCGCGACGTGGACCCGCTGATGGGCGAGGAGGCCGAGGACTCGGGCTCGCCGCGGGCGCCCGCTCTACAGGCGAGCCTGTGTCGAGCCCTCGATGCTCTGAAGCTCCGGGAGTTGGAAGCACGGTGGTTGGCCGAGGGGCGCCACGAGGACCTCCGGCGCCTCGCCGACCTACGGGACCCGCACCAGGACCACTCTTGGATGCGGTCTCTGAACCCCACTGCGTGCGTGGTGGTGGCGCAAGACGAATGGCCGACGGCCATGCGCATTCGCCTCGGATGCTCCTTCGCCCACGCGGAGAGGCTCTGCGCGGCTTGTGGAATGCGCGTGCTGGATCCGCAAGGCTACCACGCGCTGTGCTGCGCTCGCGGCGAGTCCACGAGGGGCCACTACTGCGTGCGGGACGCCCTGGTGGCGCCGTTCGCAGCGGCAGACGCGACAACCGCGTGCGAGGTGCAGGGCCTGGTGCCATCCGCACCAGAGCTGCGACCAGCAGACATCCTGACTCAGGCCGCCCACCCGCGCTTGACCAGCGCCGTCGACGTGATGGTGAAACCACCGAACGCGACGGGCGCGGGCTTCGACTGCACCGAGGCCGGCAAGAGGGGAAGCTCGAGAGGTATGCTTCAGTGCTGCCAGAACTCGAGGCCCAGGGCGTCCGGTGCGCCCCGGCCGTCTTCAGCGCCTATGGCCGCCGCCATCCCGACGCCGCACACCTGTTGAACCAGGCCGCGCGTCGCGTGGCCCGGCGTCGGGGGGTGGCCACTGCTGAGGTGCTGGTGCGCGGCTGGGCGCGGGACCTGGCTGTCGCGGTCTGGTCGCGGGCGGCGGCGATGGTCCACAGATGTTTGGGCGACGGCGGCGACGAGCGGGCGGCGGCGACCTCCGCGGGAGAGGGCCGCGAGGACGACGAGGACGAGGAGGAGGAGGAGGTTGGGCTGGGGCGAGGAGGCGTCCACGTTCGCGTGCTCGGCTTCGCGGTGGCCGGCCAGGCCGCTCCTGGGGGCGCGTGAGGCCTGCGGCGCTGGAGACGGCCCCGGTGACCTTCGGGTGCCTCTGCTCTGTTCTCTTTCCCCTACTTCTCCTCCTCTGTCTCCTCCCCGCTCCCCCCTTGGAGTCAAAACTGTGCATGCTGCTCTTCTGCGGTCCACAACTTGGATCCCCCACCGTGGTGCGATTTATTTTCTCTGGCGCGCAGTACGCGGGCCCAGATGATTCGTATCTGGGGCATGTTTGTATCAGTCAGCCACCCCCTCTTCCCCTGCCTCCTTCCTCCTCCTCCTCCTCCTCCTCCTCCTCCTCCTCCTTCTCCTCCTCCTCCTCCTCCTCCTCCTCCTCCTCCTCCTCCTCCTCCTCCTCCTCCTCTCCCCCCATGCCGCGCTGATTGGGGTCGCGCGCTGATTGGAGTCGCTCTTCTAGCGCACTTTCCTTATTTCTGGTGTTTGCCAGCCCGTCGATTTATTTGTCGCCAGTGCTTCGGAGAACAACGGCCGCCTGGAGGGCGAGTGGTTCACCGCGACGGTCGCCGCGAGAATCCCACTATCCCTCCTCCCCTTTCTTCCTCCTCGTCGTCCTCCTTCCCGCCGCCTCCTCTCTCTCCCCTGGCGTGCGGGGCGCGCGCGAACGCATGACCTGCACGAGCAGCCTCGTGAAGTCCCCGAGACCGCACCGGTGCAATCCGGCCGGGGCCCCAGATTCTAGCTGGGTGTGGTCGTGTACAAAGTGGTTGTGCGTGTTCCATTATGTTGTCGACCATGTGTGAGCATGTTTGGGCTATTGTTTTTTGTTGCCCTTCCAAATCTGCCTGTAGGAGGGCATGCCCGACCTGAAGTTGATGTTCTTTCGACGTCCAGCTCGGTGGTGGGCAGTGGTTCGTTCGGCCTGCGGCTCTGTGCCTCGGAGGCCCGTGCTTGTAGGAGGCCCGCGGAGTGCAGTCTTCCCGGGGGCCCTGCCGTGATCCGTGCCTCGGTGGCGCGTGCTCGGCATCGCTCGGACGTGTGCATTTTTTCTTCGGCGAGGACCATCGAGGAGAATCCTCGATCATCTGGCGAATGAACCACGCACGAAACCGAAAAAAGCACAGGGAATGGACGTCCGAGCGATGGCCAGCGTGGGCTTCGGTGCCCAGTGGCCCGTATTCCGGAGGCTCGTGATTCTGGTCTGCGGCTCGGCGGCGGGTGGCTCAGGGGCCCGTGGCCCAGAGGCCCGTGGTGCAGGGGCCCGCGGTTCGGTGGCCCGCGGCTCGGTGCCCCGTGCTTCGTTGGACCCCCGGTTCGGTGGCCCGTGGTCCGGCGGCGCCCCGTGGATTCGTCGCTCGTGAGTCGTGGTCCGCGGGTCGTGGGCATGAGGTTCGGTTGCCTGTGCTTCGGGTCAGTTGTTGTTCGGTGGCCTGGGTGTGTGTGTGTGTTGCTCGTGGTTTGGTGGCCTGTGATTTGGTGGCCCGTGGTCTGGTGACCCGATGCTCGCCGCGTGCTCACGATTCCGTATCAGGCAGAGCCATGAGCTTTTTCTCGTATTCTTCATGGCTCCCTCCTCGGTCGGCTGTGTAGGGAATATCTGACAGGGTGGTTCCCTAGTGGAGAGAAGGAGGGAGGTGGAGGGGGCGAGGAGGGTTGACTCTTGAGGGCTTCGTGGCTCTGTCTGAAGATTTCCGTGTAGACCCAAATCCGAAATGCGTCGGAAGCAATGGCCGTTGAACGTTAATGTTTGTTCTGCGTTTGGCTGGAACCCTCGCTGGAAGCATGTTTAGGCGTATCTTCGGGGTTCCTTGCGTCACCTTGGCCCCCCCTTTGGGACATCCTGGAGCCCTGGGAGGATCAATGGACCATCTTGAGCTGGTCCCGTGTCTTCTAGCATCCGTCTTGGAGCCGTCTTGGAGCCTTCCCAAGGGAGCCATCCTAGGAGGACAGTTGTTTGGTTTCTCCGTAGCTGCCTAGGGGTCGCCCTTACTGGGCACCTGGCAAGCGCTTGAGCACGCCTCAGCGGGCCGAGGGATGGCGGGGGACAGGGTTGATCCTGCTTGGCCAGCGTGGCGGGGAGGGAAGCTGTAGGGGAAAGGAGCGCGAAGGATAGCCTCCAGACTCTACGAAGAGCCTGCCCCCCCTTGACTGGAGCGCGCGTGCCCTTCCGCTGGAGATGGCCCGCTCCGGATCTCGCCTCCCCCGGGATCCGATGCGGCAAACAAAGATGCAGCACCGCGAAAGATCGCGACGGGACCCCCAGACCCAATATTTCTGGGCCCTTTCTCGAGCCTGATCGATCTGTGAGGGCCCTGGGCACAGACTTAAGTCGGCACGTCCCTCTACAGGGGGAATTTAAAGAAATAGTAAAAAAATAGCCTGGGGACGATTTTTTGACAATTTTTGGGCATTTGGGGGGTATGTTTTGAGTATTTTTAATTTTTCGCCCAAAATCCTCCTGTAGGGGGACACGCCCGACTTAAGCCCAGACCCCCGACGTCATGATTTTTGTTCCTTGCGTCGACCCCCAAAAAAGGTCTGGACCCCGTCCCCAGGACCGGCTGTCTTCATCCCGATGGGTCGTTTTGTGGACCCTGCCGAGGCCCGGCGAGGGCCCCTGGGGGCCGAAAGCAGCGAAACACATCCCGTCGTGACTTTTTCCGGGCCGAACTAAAGGGGGGGATAGGGAAAGGGGTGGGGGCTACGAAATTTGCTGCATGCAGCTGGTTTCGGCCCCACCGAGGGGCTCATTCCTCGATACATGGCCGCCTCCCGCGCCGGGGGGCGCCGGGAAAATCAGCTACGTGTCACCAGCCTCGAACCTATCCCTATCCCTAAGATTGGCACGCAAAAAGGCGATGACAATCTTAGGGATGCGCCCTCAGAAAACCTAAGGCAATCCCTGAGATGGGCATCGTGATGAGGCGATGCCCAGCACAGGGGTAGGGATGTGTGTGTTCCAGGCTGGTAAGCGTGAGCTGATTCTCACCCCCCCCTTTGCTATCCCCCCCGATTCGCCCAGCCCGGTGTTTGTGCACAGCGCGAAGGGGTGGGTCTAGGGTCATGTCGGGCCTGTCCCCCTACAGGGGGATTTTCTACGAAACATCAAAAATACAGCCCAAAAATATGCACCCAAAAGGTCAACACATACAAAATAAAAAAGTCCCCAGATGATCTCTTTGGAGCAGGAGCATTTTTGGGATTACCTTTGGGGTATTTTCTTGCTTTCGTTCAGAATCCCCCTGTAGGGGGACAGGCCCGACTTCAGCCCAGGGGGGCCCGACGCCGGGCGGGGGGGGGGGGGGCAGGCGCGCCCGCGGCAGGGAGGCAGCGCGCGGCGCCGGGAGCGCGGGGCCTCCCCCGGCGCTTGCCCCGCCACCCCTCCCCGATCGGGGGCGGCCAAAGGTTGAGTCGGGCCTGTGCCTCTACAGAGGGAGAATATATACACATATATATATATGTATGTATATATATATATATATATATATATATTCAAAAATAGCGAAGAAATGGCCTGGGGACTATTTTTTGCGTACTTTTTGAAACCATTTTTGAGTAGTTTTTGCGTATTTGTTATTTTTCGTCGAAAATCCCCCTGTAGGGGGACACGCCCGACTTCAGACCAGGGGGGGGATATCATGGCGGGGGCCATGATATCTCCTCAGATGTCATGGCGCCCCGTCTCATTGCATCACGTCCTTGGCCCCCTCCTTCGGGTCGCGCACATGCCGCCGGCCATGATGTGTGCCCCCCCCCCCCCCCCTCTTGGACGCCCGAAACTCTTGCCCCCCAGGCCTCTGGGCACCCTTCTCGCCTTCGCCGGCTTCGTGGCCGCGCACGCCGAGCTGGCGGAGGAGTTTGGACGACCGAAGTGGGTACGAGCAAAAGTGGGTACGATGCCTCGTCGAGAGCAAGAGAACCCCCAGGGATGGTCGCGTCGAAAAAAAAAATCGGGGCAGAAGGTTTCTGGCCAGTGTTGGCCTCGGGGGCCCTCGCCGTGCCTCGGGACCGTAAAACAACGATCCAGGATCAACAAACCGGTCCGTGGAACGGGTCGGGACTTCCAGGAACCCCGTATTGAAACGATCAGGGCGAAACATGTCTGGGCCCCTAACCCTGATGCCACGATGAAGACGTGGTCTCACTGAGGTTCCCGTCCTCGCATCAGGGATCATATTTCTGGGCGGTTCGGTTCGGTACATCTGCAGACAAGACCCCATATCACTCATGGTTTGGCCCTCCTAATGTAGACCTCCTCCCAAAGGGTTTGGGGTCCTTTTTTCTGGTTACTCAGAAATGGATACGGAACAAATGTGTACAATGCCCAACAACACATGTTGTCCCAAACCAACAGCGGCCGCTGCTGGACAGGCGGCCTTCTGTTTCAAAGAGTCACAGGCCGCGGCGACACCGACAGCGAGTCGTGCTCAACATGCACAGGAACTGCTGTCGGTCTTTGTGCCCTTCCATTATGTTCCAAGTTCGATCGTCCCGAGAGGAGCTGGGTTCGGCGCCCGTCGGATGGCCCCTGGCCGACCTCGAGCGCGTGGCGGTGGGCTCGCGCTTCGGGGCCCCCGCGATGCACTCCCCCAGGTGATGGGCGGACTTTCCACCACCACCTGCCAGAGGTAGGACGGGGGAGGAGGGAGAATGGGGAGGTCCTCCTCCTCCTCCTCCTCCTCCCCCTCGTCCTCCTCCTCCTCCTTCCTCTCCTGCCTTTGTGGTAGTGGTGGTGGAAGCTTGGCCCCTTGCCAGGGCCGCCGCCTTCCTGGAGGCCGCCCGGGGCAGCTCCGTGGAGCCCCGCCTGCCGGCCGCGCCCCTGGGAGGGCCGTGCGCGCCCGCGCAGCTCGGGGCGGCGCTGGAGACGCTGGGGCTGGCCCTTGGCGGGCCGCTGATGGAGGCACAGTCTTGTGGACGACGATCAATGGAGAGGAAGCGTGTTTCAAGCAGTGGCGAAGCGTCCTGGCGTGCCTACAGCCCTACCAAACAATGTTCTAAGAACCTTTTTTGTGGTTTCCACGACATGTTCTTCGGACACTTCTGGCGGAGCCTGTCTTGTTTTGTCACATCGGGTTTCTACTCTGAGAACATTGTTTTTGTTCTTGGAACATTTTGGGGTTCTGGGAGCATGTCGTGGTAGGACTATAGGAATGCCGGGACGGTCGGTCCCTGCTCAAGTGTTGACAAACAATTTCCAGATGTCCAAAACCCAAAACATGTGTTAACATGTCTTAAGCATGCAAAATCATGTGGTACGCATGTCTAGAACGGTTATAAGCGTTGGAAACACGTTTTAATTCAATGATCGGATTGTTAGGGTGCCCATTGTCATGGCATTCACAAGCACAGTCATACTCATCGAAGAAGTAGAATCGCCATAAAGGTAAACTTGCGGCACCCTCCGCGCGGATTCCTTGGATCCGCGCTGGGCCCCCCCTGGCGGCGCCTCTGGCGCCGCTCCTGGCGCGCGGAGCGCGCCAGGGAGGGGGGGTCCAGCGCAGATCCAAGAAATCCGCGCGGAGCGCCACAAGTTTATGTTCATGGCGTTTTTTCGTCTTCTTCTTGTTCTTCTTCAATCGTACAGCCCCTAACCCCAATAACACAATGAACTCGCGGCCCAACTTGGGTCATCGCTTTGGCGGCTTGTCCCTGAACGTGTGGGTGGTTTCGTCGGAGGCACGGGCAGCAGAACACGACCCCCTTGTCGTCCCCACAATGATCGTAGCCCTCCCACGTTCGGCCCCCTCCCCAACAAAAAAAGACCAGGGGTACTTACCTGCTCTGCCGGGCCACATCGCGCTCCGATGCGCACTCCGCGTCCGCGGGGGCGAGCGGACGTCCGGCTAGCCGCTGGGATTGCCATTCCTCTTCGGTTGGCCTGTCTTCACTGTGGATTGCCAATCCTCTGGGGATTTGCCTATCTTCTGGGGATTGCCAGTCCTCTGGGGATTTGCCTATCTTCTGGGGATTGCCAATCCTCTGGGGATTGCCAATCCACTTGGGATTGCCAATCCTCTGGGGATTGCCAATCCGCTCGGATGCGCCATTCGCGCCCGCGGGGGCGCCAGGAACGCCCGGGGCGGCGAGCTGCCCTTTTTGCGGGGGCGCGGGGGAGAGCGGAGCGTCGACGCCGCCGCTCGTGCCGGCAGTGCCCTCGCCGCCACGGCCGGGTGCTCCTCGAGCAGTGGCGAAGCGTCCTGGCACGCCTATAGCCCTGCCAAGCAGTGTTCTAAGAACCTTTTGTGGATTCCACGAACTGTTCTTAGAGCATTTCTGGCCGGGACTGTCTTGTGTTAACACACCGGTTTTATGTTCTACGAACGTTGTTTCTGTTCCTGGAACATTTCGGGGTTCTCAGAACATTTCGTGGTATGACCATAGGGATGCCGGGACGGTCGGTCCCTGCTCAATCTCCCCGAGGCGCTGGTCGGGGCGCACCCCAGGAGAGGTCCAGTGAGTTTAGCCGGAAGTCGGGCATGTACCTCTACAGAGGGAAAACATCCAAATAGTCAGCAGGGGACGATTTGTGCGTTTGTTTGAACATTTTTGTTGACCATTTGTCCTTTTGCTTCCAAGCCCGCCTGCAGGAGGACATGCCCCGACCGAAGTGTAGCCCCGTCGGTCCACCTGTCGGGGCTCCCCCAGAGGCGCTGCCCGGGGGCGACTGGGGCAGCCGCGAGTTCGAGGCCCTCGCGGCCCTCGCGGCAAAGGAGGGCGGGCCTCCGGGCGCCGCGCGGGCGAGGCTGCTGGCGCAGGCGCTCGAGGCCGCCTGGCCTCAGTACGAGCGCTACATGGCGCGGGCGGACGGCGAGCCCTCCTCCTTTGCCCGTGCGCTGCGAGAGACGCGGTGGATACCCGCCGACGCAGCCCCTGGAGAGGAGCCGCCCGGCGACGAGGCCGCGGCGGCGCTCCTGAGGCCCAGCGAGGCCATCGCCAGCACGCCGGCCTTGCGCGCCGTGTTCCCGGAGGCCGCGCTGCTGGCGGGGCGCCTGACGACGGCAGTGTCGGGGGCGTTCGCGGAGGCGCTCGGCGTGGTGCAGGAGCCGTCGGTGGAGCTGGCGACGGGCGTGCTGCGCGGCTTCGCGCGGGGGGCGCCCGTGGGCCCCGAGGCAGCCACTGCCGTATACGGGTACCTGCAGCGCCAGGGCGCGGACCTCTCCCCGCTCCGCCGCGCCCTGTGCGTCGCCGTGGCGGCGGGGCGCCCGGCTGCGCTCCCTGCCGACTGCGTCTGGGAGGACGAGGGCGGGGCGGCCGCAGCTCCGGCGCTGCTGGCCCTCTACGGCCCGCAGTGGCGGGGCTTCTTCGTCGAGGGCCTCGGCGTGCCAGAGCGGCCCACGGCGGAGCATGCCCTGCGCCGCCTGGACCACCTGACCGGGCCCGGCAGGACAGACGGCGTGGACACGGCGGCGGTGTGGGCCGTGCTGCTGCTCATAGCGGAGCGGTGCGCCCAGTCCAGCGGCGAGGAGGCGAGCGAGTGGCGTCGGGCGCCTGCGGCGCTGTGGGGCCGCGCCTGCATCCCGCTGCGGGGCGACGGCCTCGGGGTGCCCTCGGAGGGCGTGCTCTTCGCCGACGACTGCTCGCAGGTGCCTCCCCAAGTCTTGGAGGCGACGCAGGCGGCAGTGCCCTTCGCTGCGACGCCGCCCATGGGAGCGAGAAGCGCTGAGCATTGGCCGTCGCTCCTGCTGTCAGCTGGGGTACGAGCGCTGTCCTCCGCCTGCGTCGTCAGGCCAGTGCACAGCGCAGCGCAGCCAGCAGTGCAGCTGTTTCGTTCGGTGGCCGCGCTGTTGCCGCTGGCGCAACGGTACCTCTTCCACCGCCACCAGGCCGTCCACGACAGCGTGCGCGAGGCGGCCGCCTCGAGGGTGCGTGCCCTGCACGTCCGGCGCGTGATGCAGACGCTGGAGCTGACGTGCGAGGTCACCCCCCGCGAGGGGGATGCCCCGACCGTGACGACGCTCCCAGTGGATGCCTTCTTGGAGGAGTCGTGGGCGAAAAGCATCTCCATATCCGCAGCCTCGTGGGCTGGGCCCCTGGGCCGCGCCCCTGCGGATTCGGGGCGTTGGTCCGCGGAGGCCCCGCGCGGAACGCGTCCGTGCGACCGCGTATCCTTGGCTCCGCGCCCCAGCATCCAGACTGCGAGGGCGCGGATACGGATATAAGCCCGCCGTTCGTGCAGGAGGGCGGCGCGGGCCGCCCCGAGGGCACGAGCGGCACGCGGCCGCCGCTCCTGCTGGTGCTCCACGGCGCCGCCATGCCCACCATCTGCGTGCAGCTGGCCCGGCTGCTGGTGCCGCCGGCCCCCGCGGGCTCACCGGGCTCCGCCGCGGCGGCCTCGGCGCAGCACGCCCGCGAGGCGCTGGCGACCTTCCTGGTCTCCGCCGCCGCCGGCAACGGGGAGGAGATCTGCAGGGCGCTGGGCGTGGGCGAGGCACCAAAGGAGCTCGAGCTGTGGCCCGTGCCGCAGGAGCTCGAGGGGGCGGAGGCCGAGGGGCCCTCGGCCGCGGCGGCGGACGCGGCGGGAGGCGGCGCCAGTTCGGACGAGGTCGGCTCTGCGTGAGCTTGGCCTTTGGCCAGGGTGACGTTTGGTGCGGGCCCGCCAGGGTACACTCCGCCCGGGCCCGCGCGCCTGGGTGTGGGTGGGCCCCCCCCGCGGTCTCCGGAAGCCGCGCACCAAAGGTCACGCTTGCCCAGGGTCACTCTTGCATGTGGCCCACGAGGGCGAGTACGGCAAGGCCGTGCAGCAGCGCAGCACGGCCGCCCGCTCGGACCCATACGGCGGAGGAGGCGCCGAGGAGGAGGAGGAGGACGCCGCCGAAGGGGCCGAGGGCGCCGACGCAGATCCTGGAGCGGAGCACCTGGGGGCAGGAGAGGACGCCCGCACTGGCTGGCGCGATGGCTGGCGCGAGGCCGCGGAAGGCGAGGAGGACGAGGCCGAGGCCGGCGCCGACGCCAAGGGCGGCGAGAAAGGCAAAGACAGCGGCAAGGGCAAGGGCAAGGGCAAGGGCGATGGCGACGGCAAGGGCAAAGGCGAGGGCAAAGGCGAGGGCAAAGGCGAGGGCAGAGGCAAGGGCAAGGGCAAGGGCAAGGGCGAGAAAGGGGACGGCCGCCAGGCCTGGGACATGGGCGACGTGTTCACCGGCCTGCCAGCCAGGGCGAGAGCCGAGCCGATCGGCGAGAGCTCGGAGAGCAAGCCAGAAAAGGTTTTCCAGACCCGCGTCTACGATCTCGAGGATGTGCGGGAGCAGGCAGCCAGGTCTGCCCTGCCGCCGGTCCCCGCGGGCGGCGACGACGACACCGAGGTGCGTCACAGGACAGGGCGCTGGGGCGAGGAGTTCGTCTACACATACCTTAAGCGCAAGCTCGAGGGTGGCGGCCCGGATGCTCAGGAGTCAGGAGGAAAGAAACAACTCACAGGCACACAACTAGTCGCTGGTGCCCCGGAACATTTGGGAAAATATGGGAAGCGGAGGGGAAGACGAAAGCCCAGAAAATAGTGACATCAAAACGGTGTGTATTTATTTATGCCTGTGTCCCTGGCCCCCTCTCTGAGGAGGGCGAGCGGAAGCGAGTGGTCTGGGTGAACGAGCACGAGGAGAGCGGCCTGCAGTACGACGTGCGGGTCGAGGACGCCCGCAGCGGGGACCCGGAGGCGTACGTGGAGGTGAAGACGACGCGCTCCAGGGGGAAGCACGTGTTCGAGATGAGCTACCGGGAGTGGACCTTCGCGCAGAAGGAGGGCAACCGCTACGTCATCTTCCGCGTGCAGAACGCCGGGCACAGCTCGGGTGTTGCTAGAAGTGCCCCAGGCCCAAGGTGCCCCCGGGATTCTGAGCACCAGAGGGACCCAAGGGCTCAAGCATGGAGCGAAAAGCTGCAGGTACCTTGGGCCAGGGGCACCTCTAGCAACACCCGAACAGCGACGTGGAGCTGTGCTCGATCACGAACCCGTTCCGCCAGTGGAAGGACCTGAACCTGGGCATGTGCCTGAGCTTCTGAGGGGCGCTGGTCAGCTACGCGCAGAGGGGGGTAGGGGAGGGGGGGGGGCGTCTTAGAAGCCCCCTGCTTCTTAGAAGGCGCGGGCCTTATCTATAGATGCAAGGCCGGCGCCTTCTAAGAAGCAGCCTGCTTCTAAGAAGCCCCCCCCCTCCCCCCACCCCCTTGTGCGCGCCGCCAAGCTGGGTAGCAGCGTGCTCCCTCCCCCCCCTCGCCGTTCTCTCCCCCTCTCTTCGGCGCGTCTCGCCGCGTGCCCAAAGAAGGGGCGCCCCGTGCCGTGCCGTGATGCCTCAGGCCCAGATTCATGTCGGGCGTGTCCCCCTACAGGGGGATTTTCGACGAAAAATAAAAATACCCCACACATATCCCAAAAAGGTCAAAATATATTCAAAACAAAGTCCCTGATTTTTTTGGGACTATTTTTGATTATTGTTGGGGTACTTTTTTATTTTTCGTCGAAAATGGGGGACAGGCCCGACGTAAGCCTAGATGCGGATGAACAGCGTGACCCGCCAGATCCTGGGACCTGTGCGCTGTCATATAAGCTCCGAAAATGAACTGAGCAAACATGCACGTCGGCCGATCAATCGACTGGCCAATGAATCGAACAACAGCTGCCGCTTCACGATGCAGTGCCACAGGAGCATCCCAACAGGCAGTCGGCGTGCCCTTGCGGCACGATTCCCGCCAGCCCCAGCTGATGCCCGCTACGGTCAGGAATTTCGGCTCAGCGTGCCTCTCCGCCGCTGGTTCTGGCCAACCACCCTTTGGCGCGACACGCTATCCACGCTCCCATTCCCAAGGTCGTCGTTTTCTTACTCATTGCTTTGCCGATCGTCGCGGGCCCTCGCACCCCCCCCCTCCCCCCACCAGGGGTAGATCTCGGCTGCTTTGGGCGCTTGTTTCCAGCCGGTGGAGTCTCCCCCATGGCCCATGGGACGCACGGTTGCAAACAAACAGCCGCACTGAGCAGAGGTCTGGAGCCAGACCCTCCCCCTCCCCCTCCCCCTCCTCCTCCTCCTCCTCCTGTCGATCCTGTCGATCCATGCGCAGCCGAGCTCCTCCAGGCGAGAACACTGGGCGGCGGGCGACGGCGAGCCCCGCGAAAAACGAAGCCAGGGCCAGCAGGCGCGCGACCGCACCGCTAAGGCCCCGACTGTTGGAGGGGTACAGGCCGACCCACGAAGGATTTGGTGGACGGATCCTTCCCCTCCTTCAGCTGCTTTAGGGTCTTCTCCGCTGGCTTGTTTGGAGGCGCGCCAGGGCACGGACCTCCCAACAGGCACAGCTTGACAGACCCGAATGCAGCACACGAATTACACCATACGACACGGCCGCCACTAATCCAGAGCTTATGGCTGGTGTGGGCGAGCCTGGCCAACCTGGGGAGGCCAGAGCACGGCAGTGCGCACGCTGACGATTCTGAAAATCCCGAGGCGCCACAATTCACACATCGGTAGGCCCCTTTCCCCTTTGTGCCCGTCCTGTGGACAGCGTGCCCTTTGAAATCACATACCAAAACTAAAGGGTCATGTTTAGGGCGGGGAGGGGCCTTACATTTCTGGACGTCGGGGAAATTCTTCTTACTGAGCATCTCCCCGAAACACGCAATAAACCGACTGAAGTCTTCTACCTCCGAACATCTTTGTCTCTGGAGGGCGCGGAGGCGAGGGTTGCAAGGGTGCTCCTGGGCTCCACGCTTAGCAAGACCGTCAGCTCTGCCGTTGCCGACCCAGGCCCAATGGGGGGCCTCCGAGGTCTCAAGACATCTACTCCAAGAAATGTGACTCTTAATTTTGTGCAGGCAGATCAGGTCTTGTCCTATATCCAGAACACGATCCCAAACGAGCTCCCAGACCTCCGAGAACGCCACCTCAGACAAGTCCGACTCGGGCCCGCGGGCCCAAACGTCCAAGACGGCCTGGCAATCTGTGTAGATCTGGGTGCACTGCGAGGGCCCACTGAGCTTGAGGGCCATCAGCAATGCATATAGTTCACCTGCTCCCGATTCCTGGACAGGATGAGGAAGGGGTCCAAACGCACTGCCCTCGCAACGACTGCTCTGATCCATAGCCACCACTGGCCAACCTGCACGCGCCGCGTACAGGGAGGTCGTGTCAAAGCCTGAGCCGTCGATGCATATCCTGCTGCCTAGGAAACCTGCTTCTGGCACTTTTTCCCACCGCCAAACCTCGGCTGTGGAAACCTTGGGCCAGTCATAACCTGGGTCAGCAATGAGCGTTCTCGTCGACAAGAAATCGTAGGCGCCCAGCTGCATACCTCTGACCACGCACTGCGGCAGGTCTAGGTCCCGCCTAAACAGAAGAAACCCATCACACTGGTATAAACGATGCTGCGGCGTGCCGTAATACACTTCGCAGACCCTGCACAGCGGCGTGATGGCACGCCTGTCCTGGAACAAAACTTCCTGAGTGGGATGACCCCCTGCGACTACATTACACAAAAAGGAGGCAGCTGCGTTTCTCCCCGCTTTTCCTAAGGCCTCTTAGGGTATCCACGATGGGCCCCGGGAGGGGAGGAACCACACGCTCAGGATCATCGGGGTCAGGGGCCCCAACATGCTCCAGAAGCCTCATATGTGTACTGTAGTCTATCAACTTAGTCAGGGTGCGCTTCCCGAAGTGGTTGAGGTCCAGTAAGAAACAACTGCAAGACTCCCAAGTGCCCCAAGTGGTAAACCTCCCGCCCAGACGATCCAAGGTAGCCCAAACCGCTCCAGCTGGCCCCCGAACCTTGTCCCAGGTCCTGGTAGCAACCGTAGGGTAGGCCTGCGCGCAGGCCCTCATGATGTGCTCGGGGACCCATTTCTGTTTCACAGCCTGTTGCCACATCTTGAGCGGCAGGAGGTTGGCCTGGAACACAGGGTCCATGCCCTTGTCAGGGCCCAACAAAAACTGCAGAGTCCTGGAACGGCCCCGTCCTTTGCCGAAAGCTGCCTGGCCTATGATAGAGCGCAGCTTCATGACCGTCGAAGTGTTCATGCCTATGACCGCTGTGCCGTAAAAAGCTGCTGGCACCACCTGTCTTCACGACCTTGCACAAGCCCGAGTAGCCCGAGCGAAAGCCCTAAATCGGCGAACTCGGGGCCCCAAACTCTCCCATCTCGATCCCTGGACTGGAGTTCGGCGCCGACCTGCAGCGTAGTCAACCCCAAGGTTACGAGCCGTCTTGACCACCTGGAATTTCCAACGCAAGAGCCGTGTTTTCACCCGAACTTCAATATCCCGAGACGTCGCCGTGATAAGGCCTTTCGTGGGAGAGATCAGGAAACCGAGTTTCTCGAGATTGCTGCACAACGTAAAAGTAGCATCGGCAGCCGTTCTCGCCACCGCCCTAGCCTTACCTGTAGCTCCACACGTAATATCATCAACGACATTGTAGATCCGAACCGACGGGAACTTCGATACGACCTGGTCTAGCGGGTCGAGAAGGAGGCACTTTAGCAGGGTGGTGGCGAACGTGCAACCTGCCAAGATCGCCTGGATACAGGCGACAAGCTCAGAGCAGACCCTGCCCACCTGCAAGACCCTCTGGCCCCTGTACAAGCAGAGGAGGTAGCGCAGGCGGTACAAAGGAAAGCCGTGCTTGATGGCCGCCGAGGCCAAGAAGAAGTGAACCACCTTCTCATAGCACTTGGTCATATCGACCAGAACTGACGCAGCAGAGTGCCCAAAAATGCACGCGCGCTCCATCCTAATAGCCTGCTCCCAAACAGCTCTTTCACACGGACGCCCCCTGCTTCCGAAATGGCAAGGCCTGTCATGGGCCCTCTCCCATCGATCAGCCTGTACCCGAGAGTATTTCCCAAAGCACCTGGCGCTCCCAGACAAATTTCCGATGGGCCGAACTCCACCTTCCTCGTCCTTTGGGATCATGGCTATGATAATCGTGGCCAGGACCTCGGGGAGTTTGCCAAGAGACTCCATCCAAAACCAGAGGGCAGCCGCACACTCCAGGGCCCCGTCGCTGAGGATCTCGAAATCCCTGGGGTGTGTCCTATCAGCGCCGATCGCCGTCCTGGCCTTGAACTTCCTGGAGCACTTTCGGATCTGATCGGGCGTGGCCAAGACCATGGGCTCCCCGGAGGACTCGGAGATCTCCTCGGTGAGGAGGCTGATGGGATCAGGGAGGTCCTTCATGCTGGGCTTGGGGCTCCAGATCCTAGCCCACTCTTCCATGAGGTCGTCGATGCGCCCCGTGGGCCCCTTGGGGGGGGGCCCTCCTCTCGGGTTCGATGGAACCCATCCCAAGGGGACCTTGGTGAACTCATGGGCCAATCCAGCCCCATTGTCCAGACTTGTCTGGACCCAAGATCTCCAGGCCTTGCCCCGATCCGATTGAAACTGCTTCTCAAGACGCTCTGCGTTACGCTTGGCCTTGGCGCGCAACTGCACGATGCCACAGAAGTCGAGGCAAGCCAGGTCCGTCTCAGAGACTGCGCACTCTTGCCAAAAAGGGTCGGCACGAAGCGCTGCGGGCCCTTGTAGCACATGGAGAAAAACTGATCTCGCATATGGTCGGTCCAAAGGCACTCCTTCCCTGACGAGATAGCTAAGCTCCTGAATGTGGATGGACCACTTCCTCCAAGCTCTCCCTTTGGCCGAAGAAACAGGGTACGCACCGCCCGAGACCGAAACAGCAGGACAGATTGTGGTATTCATTCCTTTGGCCCGACCGCGATACTTGTGCGCATCACTCTTGTCAATGCCGTGGATACCTATCATCTCATCCTCGAAAAGCTTGCAAAACCTAGCGTGGCCCCTGTCCAGAGCTGCCTGGTCGCCGCGCGCCTCGAGCTGAGCTAAACATTCAGACCAATCTGGAGGTTGAGGCCGAGGACCGAGAGGGGCTTCACGAGGAAAAACCTTCGGACCTACAAGAACCCTGGTCTTGAGCTCTCTGGGGGCACCTGAGAGGTCCAGCGTGACGGGCCAGTGCGGGGCCGTAGTTCCACGTTTGTTAAGCGACACAGCATCGAACAAGGGCCCGAGCGACTTCGAGATGACGAAAAAGTCGACGGTGGTCCAAGAGGTCGACGATTTACGACACGTAGGCTCAGAGGTGTGAAAGATTGTGCCCCCAATCTTGTCCACCCAACCCGTGTCCGCTAGCAGCTTCGGCGATGTGTTGAAGTCTGTTCCTATAACGAAAGGTAGCTGCCACCCGTGGAGCTCCTCGCCGAGTCTGTTGAGGATCTGGAAACTGCCGAGGCCCAGGGGGTCATCGCAATCGAGATAGAGGGAAAACACCGCGATACCTCCAGGCACAAACATGCCCAACCAAGCTCCGCAGATACGGTGTGGCTGAGGCAGAGGGCGGACAAGCGGTAAGGGTCCCATCCCGATGTGGCTCCTGACAGCTATCCCCGTCCCACAACTGAGCCCTCCCTTGTCTGTGGTCCTGCTTGGGTGCACGAGCGCATTCCAACCTAACTGGCGAAGCTGGTGGGTGCCCTCCCGATGATCATCTCCGAAAGCGAAATCCTGGAACACGACAACCTGGCCGAATGACTCGGACTGCAAATAAGTCTTCCAAGATTTCCAAGAAGATGAATTACAGGTGTCGATAGTCATGCAACGGCGACCTGCTTTCACCGAAACAACAGGACTACAATCGCCAGGC